GTGTCGAGGGCTGTGATGATGGTGGAGACCTCGTCTAAATACTCCGCCATAGTTTTCGTGCCTTTGGTAATTGTGTGGAGACGATCACGCAATTAAAAAATATGAGAGTGGGAAATTGATGCATAGCGTGTTGCGAGGGCCGTCCACAGGGCTGAAGCAGTTATGTAGGAGCGGACGTGTTTCTGAACCGTGGGAGAGATGACCGCAATCAAACATGATCGGATCTGGCCATCCACGGCTTTCCAGGCGGCATGGGCCAGATTGGTTTTTTCTGATTTGTCCGTGGCGGTGATGATTGCCGGCGGTGGTTCTATGCTTCCATCGACGTATTTGAGAAGGTAATTGGCCTCAAGGGCTGTAAGAACGGTGATTTTCCATGTAGGGTAATTTATGTCTGATAATTTTTCGGGAATCAGGGCATGAAGATGCCTGAGAAGGAGTTTAACGCCAGAAGGAAGTGAATCGAGAGTATCCACCTCGGTTGTCATGGCTGCCGCCGCCCAAGAGAAGAGAGGAAACGATCGGTGCCCTAAAGAGAGAAAAAAACTAGAGAAAAGAAGATCTAGGTTTTCTGGCTCTTGATACCATGAAAGAATATTGATTGTATTGAAATGTTAACCTAATAAGGGAATACATGAGAGATATATATAGGAGATATAGGAAGGAGTACTTATCCTAATAGGACTAGGATTAAGGAGTACTAATCCTAATAGGACTAGAATTAGTACACAGTAAATACTAATATTATTTAATACTATTTATTTAATACTATATGTTATTAAACACCTTAGCAGGAGGTGTTACAAAACTAAACAAACTTCATTAGTATTACTAGTTCGAGCTTGATTTGCCAAAACATGGGTTGCGCCATATTGCCTTTCCTAAAAGTATGTTGGATTACCGGATTCTGCAGTTTCCTCAACCAATACCTGCATTGAGAGATTAAAGAGTTAAATAACAAATCTTCATTTTTCATGAATAAAGTAATTACCTCTGTGGAGTCCGTTTCAATAATGATTGGAAACAGGCCTTGATGAAAAACGATTTCAACCCCCTTAAGCAACGCGAAAGTTTTCATAAAGTAGCATTCAACCCACACAATTTTTATTTTAACCCACCTTCCAACAGCCAGTGTTATCCCAAATGACTCCACAATACCTTCGATTCTTGTTGTAGTAGAAATAAAGCCATCAATATTGAGTTGGTGGTGATGTTAAGAAGGGGGTTTCCAATTGATTTGAATGGAAATTCTTTCAGTAGGGCAAGACAAAAGGTTATATATTCAACAGTACGAGCAAAGACTAGAGATTGTAAAATTGGATTAAAGGAGTTGTTAAACACATTATTATTTTGTTTAAGCCATAAATTTCAAATGACAAACGGAAACAGGAATTTCAATAAATATATTGAATTCAATGATACTATAATATTTTTTCAATTTGTATAATAATATTTATATATATATATATATATCAAAGATTTAACAGGAGAAAAATTACATTTTTTATATTGATATTTATTTGTTGCTAATAATTTAATTATTTTGCAAGAATGTTTTCTCTTAAAGTTTTTTTCAAATGAATGAAATATAGAAGATATTTTCGACATAAGTGAAATATTTTATAATAGTTAGCAAATTATATCAAATACATTATGTCTCTTGAAAATTCTAAAAAAGTACGACATAAATATGGGGATTTTCATATATAACTACTAAAAAGCCTAATTACTCTCCATAACTATAGTTTGATAATTATAATTCGTAGTTATGTGTTATAGAGAAGAGAGAGGCGAGCGAGACCAGGAGAGAGAGGAGATAGGTGAATTGTAAATGTATATTGGTTAGATAATTGTATATTATAAATGTACATTTGTATTAATGACAAGCGAGATTGTGTGAGAGAGAGAGAGGAGAGAGGCGAGCGACATTGGGAGAGGGAGGAGAGAGGTGAGCGAGAGAGGGCAGATAGAGGGAGATAGGTGATTTGTATATGTATATTGTTTAGATACTTGTATATTATACATATGCATTTGTATAAATGACAAGCGAGATTGAGAGAGAGGCGAGTGAGATTAAGAGAGGGAGGAGAGAGACGAGCGAGAGAGGGCAGAGAATGGGAGAGAGGTGAATTATATATGTATATTGATTAGATAATTGTATATTATACATATGTTTTTGTATATTCTAGTGAATTATACATATAACAAATGTGGCTAATTATACAAACTCGAAGTCAGCCCACGTAATTAATGTATAATATTAGTCGTGAGTGGTAATTATAGCAAACTATAGCTATGGTGAGTAATTAAGTAGGATAAATTTGCTTAACCACATAGTTTACCCTACAAATATATCTATAATTTATCACTGAAAAAAATGTAAAATATATAAATGTACCTAAAAAGGAATAAGTAACAAAAATTTATTTATATGATATCACAATATAATAAAAGGTGCTTTGATAATTAAAATTTAAATTTCCACAATATGATTTGATAATTAAAGTCTAATTTAAACTTTTGTTCTGTTTTCACTATGTAGAGTTGTCAATATGGGCTAGCTCACCCCATCCGAGTTAACTTATACAAGCTTTGACATTTTATGGATCAGGCTTGACTAGCCCATTTTTTATGTAGGCTAGAAAATGGTCTGCCCAACCCATAAGTGTCCACAAATAAAATTATCTTTATACTATTTATTAAGTTTTTTTCAAGTAAAAATATAAATATCTAAATAGAAATATTACCCTAATTGTTTTGAGTTTGGACTCTCTTTAATTTTAAATTTTAATATTATATAATATTTTTAATTAATTTTTGTTGGACCACGGACCGACCTACTGATATTTCTCAAGCCACACAAATCACCAGACTTATTCAAGTCGGGCTAAAAAACCCTTTTCCTAAATGGGCTCTAAAAACCTTAGCCCAACCCTGTTAAATTCCGAATTAGGCCAAGCCGACTCAACGGGTCTAATTCATATTGACGGCTCTACTATTATGTGAAGGAGCAATGATAAGAAATAATCTTAAGTACAACTTTTTCACTCATTATGATTATATAACTTTATTTTAAGACTTGAGATTGTTAATATTATCACCAAATCGCTAAATTTTTTATGATTATATAGTAAATGATTATCTTGTCATTATAAAAATTAAAAAATAAAGGACATTGATTAAAATGATTCATAATTATTATTAATATAATAGTGAATGTATGTAGTGTAACATTACGTACAATCACAATAACTCACATTACTGATTTATTATGATGTGTATGCTATATAGAACGGTTTTGTATTATGCATAAATAATAATATCAGGTCGAACTCATAAACAAATCTCCAAACTTATTTTTTCTCTCTCTAGGTACCTCAATTACGTCATTTTTCTATTGAATCATTAAGTCACCCATAATTTGTTTCTTTTAAACACTATTGGCTGATTTTGATCGGTTTTTCTATTGTAAATGTCTTTAATTGTGTCTGTATTGCAATGATTTTGATTGCAAGAATGAAGACAAACTACATGTTAGTCTCATTTATTTTCTATTTTGTTCAAATGACTTAAAGTAAAACACAATTATTCTCGAACAGTTTTACTATCAATTGGACTAATGAATTCTGGAACAATGTATGTATTCTCTATCAATACCCCTCACAAAATCTGGTTCCACATCGGCCAATGGTGTTTAAAGAAAAACAAATTATGAATGGTTCAATGATTCAATAAGAAAATAGTATAGTTAAGGTATTTGAGGGAAAAAGTCCAACAAGTTTAGGAATCTGTTTATGTATTTGACCATAATATCGTTATATGTTTGTACATGTGGTCATTTAACGATGTGAAAAAAAGTTAGATTTTTATTATTTTATGTCTAACACAATTAATGTAAAATTCATAAACATTTAATGAATTACAAATTTATTTTGTTAGATTGAATACTTGATGGACTTATAATATTAGATTGTAGTTTTATAAATTTAACTTCACTCCATGAATTATTAAGTTATTACATGATTTCTACATTTTTCATCACCGATCTATATACAAATTTTTTAACTCATATTGATATGTTCTTCGCTTTAGATATGTTTTCTATAATATCATGTTCAATTCTAATACGTCAATTAAGTTCATAAACCTCAAATAATGAGGTAAGATCTTTTTTTCTAAAAAAATAATGGGCATGAAAAAGAAGAGAAGATCTTATTTTGTAAGTAAATAATAAATATCATTAAATATTTGTGTTATATAGTCAACCAAATGAAAAAAGTATTAGACCTTTATTATTTTATGTTTAACACAATTAATGTAAAACTCATAAATATTTAATGAAGAACAAATTTAATTAGTTGGATATGATACTTGACGAACATGTCATATTAAATCACCATTTTTACAAATTGATCTTCACTTCATTTCTTTCAGTTATAACATAATATTTTCTATTTGTTCATCACTCATAGTTTTATGATAATATAAAATCAGAGCAAAAAGATAGAAATTAGATTCTCAACAAATGCTTTCACTCCTTTATATGATATGTCCTTTATGTTCTTGTGCATTTAATCATGTTTAAACTTTAGTACGAATAAATTTTAAATTCAAGTTTACGAATCTCAATAATTGAGATAAAAAAGAAGAAGTTAGAAGAGAGTATAAGATGAAAAATCAAACTTTCACTTAAGAAATCGAAAGCTCAAGTAATCAACCAATGAAATTATTAATTTTTTTTGATAAATATGATAAAGTTGAACAAAACATAGATATAAAAGAAGAACACAAAGCAAAGAGCGGTGAAACTTGAAATTTGAATTTACATTTTATTTGAATTTTATGAGTATAAATTCAAAATGAAAACCCAAAAAACATTTAATTTTTGAGAACGTGAAAACTATATAAAAATCAAAATATTTTCTTTTTCTTCAAAATTTAAGTCATAAAATAGACACAGCAAAATTGGACGTGAATAAAATAAACAGGAAAAAAAAAATAAAATACTAAACTCGGGTTCGAAGTCTCACTCTCGCTCTATCTGTTTTTCTGTGTCTCTTCCTGCTTTAGAGGTTGCGACCTTTCTCTCTCACGCACACACACACTCAATTACATTAAACCCTTCACAAATTACACCGTCAAAAACAGCACAAGGGGCTCTTCCTTTCTTCTTCAATTACCCGCCCGAAAGGTATAATTTTTAACCCTTACAAATTATTAATTTTTTTTCAAATTTTTTCACTCTCTCAACTCTTCCTCTCTCCCTTTTTTTTTTCCTTTTCTCATTCTCCCTTTCCCCCTATGGCTTCGTTTCTCTCTCGTCTTCGCAGGTCTCAACTGATAGCATTGCTGTGTCGGAAGAAGGATTGTTTTGAGGATTGTCATGGTTGCAGCGATTTTCTCCAAACGGTGTCGTTTTTCGTGAGGATTGGTTAGGGTTTGATGGATTCCGCGGTGGAGATCCAACCGGAGGTTGGATCTGATGGTGTGGGGGAGAAAAGGTTGGCTGATGATGATGTGGAATTGGTGGAACCAGCTCCGAAGAAAGCGAGGGGTGAGGTGATTGGGAATACGAAGAAGGTTGCTGAAATGGTGCTTGTACTTGCTGCTTTAGGGAAGATGAGAGGAGGTAGGGTTCCTACTGCTGCGGAGAGGGAAATGATGGCAGAGGCAAGGGAGAGTTTGGCTCAGGTATGCCAAAGTTTTGCACCCAAGGATGTGTTTCCAAGAGATGCTTTTGGTGCTGTTATGGAGGATCTCGGTCTTAATAAGCTGAAGGATCAGAGGCTAGGATTTCGCCCTCCCAAAGTGTCCATTGCTGAGAAGTTACTGATAGCCAAAGAAAAGGTAGGTCAAATTTTTGCTTCCTTTTTCTTCAGGGGGAAAACAAGGTTATATAGTTCAAGTACTCCAGTCTTATTTACTTTTTCGACGGGCAATGTTTATTTCGATAGAATCAACATTAACTTAAATGCAGAAAGTATATTCAAGTACATATGCTTGCCGGTTCTTTTGAATTAGTCGATTGAAATTCTGTTCTCGTTTGTTAATTGTGAGCCATAAGGGAAAAAATAATTGCCCAAATGTTTCATATAGCAGGGTGGTAGAATTGGAGCTTCCGATTCTCTTCCCAAGTGTAGGGATTTTTAACATTTTTGATTAGTATACACATATGGTGTAGACATTCCCGTCATTACAAGACGCCCGAGATGACTTAAATATTTGAATTTTGAGGCGGGGCAGCTTAACTATATATGTGGCCTTAAGCCAAATATGACAGTGTTACAAAGTTATTTTAGAAGTTGTATATATGTTCTTTTGAAACCTATTGTCCTAACCTTTTGAGGTGTAAAATTATTAATTTTTTTTGATAATCGGTTTATTATAATAGTTCGATCTCAATTGATAATATCACTAATCAGTTTGATATCTCGTAAGACATTATTGATCTTAGGTAAGATTTGATCAATTTAATTTTAATTCTTTTCTGCCCGAGGCAATTATTTTACAAACCGTTAACATTCTTTTATAAGCGATAGAAGTATTTGAAGAAGAATCAAGTCAATATATCTAATTGAATTACCGATTGTAGTATTATCTTCTACTGATACTATTTTCCTTAGGATTTTTAATTTGAAAAATAAGTTATCAATATTAGGATGTCTATTATGTTTTAAGGAACTTTCTTGATTAAATTGATGTCTTCTTTTAGATTCTCATCATCCTGTTGTCTTGAATTTTTACCCTAAATAAAAAATTTAAATATGTTCACATGCTTAGAGTTGTTCTAATCTATTTTATAGTATTGGTCTACAATGTATTAGGAGTAAACATCTCTAAAAGATTCTTCAAACATTCTCATTAAATCATTTCTCTCTACATAATACACGGTTATAATGGAATTCTCTGGTTTTATGTTCACCACAAATACAATTTTTCTTAGTAGAATTTCTTGTACCCAAAGACTATTCCTATTCCCTAAAATAATACTCAATCGTTGAAAACAAAGTTCCTTTCCTTTTTTAAATAAAAATTGTACTTTGTAAATTTAAAATGCTTAAAATTTCTGAAGAACAATGAATGCATTACTATCAAAAAGGACGCGGCTGTCATAATTGGTGAGGCCTAAAGCCTTTGCTTTAGATGCCTTAATGCTAAAGCCAACATTGTTTTGAGGGGCAGGGAATATGTGAAGTGCATGTAGAATTTGAGTGTGCATCGCAAGTTATATTCACTGTCCTCCAATTGAAAAATCTGGCAATTTAGGAATTTTAGTTCCAATCTAACCAATTTGAAATTGATTTCATTGAGTTGTGGCTTATACATCTTATCGAGGTCTACTTCGTCTTTCCGCTTGTGCTTTTAGTTGGAAAAAACTGAGGAATTTGCTGTACCCGCTGCTACATATTCATCTCAACGGCCTCAATCTAATATGGCTGCAACAATTGAAAACCGTGGTCCATCACATGTTCGTATGTTTCCTCACAATAAAGCAAATCATGCGGTAAATTCCTCAGGAAGCTTGCAATCTGCTTCGCCTTTGGTTCATGGAACTCCGGCAAGTTCTGCACCATTACCTTATCAGCTGCCTACCAGTGAGGTCAGACCAGTAATTTCTAGTGGAGTGGTCTCTGGGAATCCAGTAAGGGATTCTTCTCTAGTTGGATTGCCCAGAGTTGACAGGCCAAGTTTCAGAATGGATGGACGACCAAATGGATCTTCCCATGTGTTGCAAGTTCAAGGTAACAACAATACATTTCTCCTAACTGCCAAAAGTGCTTAAGGATTTGTCCTAGATTTGTTTTTTTTCGACTTCCCATATGGGGATATCTTTTCCAAATCATGGATATAAATATGGATGTAGCATGTGGTGGACAATTGCTTTACTTGGTCTGATTTGTGCACCATGCGTCAAACAAGTTAAAAAGGGCATGCTACATGATTTCCCTTTTTAGAATGCTTATCGATTTGCATCCTTATTTTCTCATTCTAGAAATGAATTCCAAATATCACCATTTTAGTATTATTTTAGGGAGCCATCCCATTCTACTTTTAATTCATCTACTAATTCTTGTCATGTTTCCTTGTAGTTAGTTGCATATAAAGAAAATTAATATTCTGATCTCGCTATGTTTGTTTTTTATTGGATTTTGAGCTTTTTATTCTTAGTTTTGGTCTGAACCATAAAAAATATATTGTTTTTTATAGCAACTTCTGGAGATCATTCTGCTATAAGAACTCCAACCTGGTCGGTGCAACCTGCATCAGTTGCAGCAGCTAAACGTGGACCAGATACCAGGGTGACATCACAGACAGGTAACAAAGTTGAGGGAGGAGCTGATGTCAAATCGCAAATGACAGCAAATAGGCCATTTATAACTCAGACCACAGCTGGAAATCTACCAACTACACTCCCACACTTACAAGGGGCAAGCTTTGTCAAGTCTCCTCCTCTGAGCAGCACTCATGCTGAAATTGGCAAGATCGTTCAGAAGTTTATTCAACCGCGCCTCTCTGAGCGGCCTGCTTGGACTCCGCCATCTCGCGATTATATTAGTAAGGCTTTGACTTGCCAAATGTGCAAATCAACAGTGAATGAGGTTGATAATGTTCTTGTTTGTGATGCTTGTGAGAAAGGGTATCACTTGAAATGTCTCAAGATGACAACTCAAAAAGGAGGTCCTAGAGGGGAATGGCATTGTGGAAAGTGCTTGTCAATGACCAATGGAAAACCCCCGCCTCCTAAATATGGTCGTGTAATGAGGAATTTTAATGCCCCAAGAATATCTACAATTGCATCAGTTGTTCAATCATCACCGGATAAAAAAGCTTCTGGTCTATATGAGAAGGTTATTCTACAGAAGTTTGTACCGAATGGAAAGGTTCCTTTGAAGAACTCGCCTCCCGTTACTATGGAAAATAATGATAGGAATCTACCATCTGAGCCAATGATGAGAAGTGAAAAAGAAATGGGAGGAAATATTATTGTGTCGGGTAAAGAAAATATGGAGAGTAAAGATTCCATGAGATCTTGTTCAAATAATGTGACTGTATCTTCCAGTGATCAGTATCTTTCTACATCTGCTGGCTCACCAGTTAATACATCTTCTGAAGAAAAAGTGGTTGAGTTGAAACCTCAGGCTCATCCTGAAACAGTTTGCCATTCATCTGATCCCTCTCAAGCTCTTAATCACCTGCAAAGAAATGACCATGAAGAGGTGGCAAACACAGCTGCGATGCCATTGAAGCTGGTTGGTGAAACTCAGCCCATGATCAGTAGATCAAATGTAGGTAACAGTTCCAGTAATGAATCTAAAAACGAAGAGCAAGCTGTTGAAAAAATAAATCCTGCTGAAACTGCTGTAGCCGCCAATGAGGATGCTGAGTGTAGTAGCTCATCATTTGATCATTTTCAAAATGTTGACTGGGTTGGAAACGTTCTTCAAGTTGCAGATGACAAGTATTATTATCAATCTTGCCGCATTAATGGATTCATATATAGTGTTCAGGACTATGCTCTTATACGTTTTGAGAATGAGCGATTGATTCCTTCAAAACTTCTGGTAAGACTTCAGTACAACAGAGTTTGACCTCTTTTTCCAAAAAATGAGAAGATTTTGATTTCCTTGTTTTTTTGGGGAAAGAATTATTTAATTGTTCTTCTTAGCAGTGCTTGCAATGTTTTGACTGATTCAAGTTGAAACTACTGAGCCTATTGCCGATGTCTTGGTGCACGGTCAATGATAACATTGTTTTTCCAACGAAATATTGAGCATTAATTGTACCAACATTAGCATTTATTGGAATTATAATCACTTTGAATTGTTTGTGAACTAAGTTCAATACTGAGATCATTTCCTGTTGCATTCTGATATCACCCATTCAGCTATGTCATTGACTTTTGCTGGTTTGGCATTTGCTTGCCAGTTAACATGAAACATGTTTCACCTCCAAGTCCTTGCATTATGCCTGTACAAATTCAAGATATTTTTTACTTATTCCATTCCAATTATCGTGACTCTTCTTTTTGGGACGTTTCTGACACCATTCCATTATACTATTTTATAATTTTTTAACAACATTTAAGAATTCAAGTTTATTTAACTATTCAAGTTTTGCTTATTGATCTGATATTTATTGTAAAGAGTTTCTCAAAAAAGAAAGAAAGAAGGCATTCGAGAGGCAGACCGCCTTTGTCAAACAATCTTTTTAACCATCACATTATTAATTTTTTTCTAGTATTACTAATATTATTGCATATAAGTGCATATAAGTCACATTCAATCTTTTTATTTGGGATAACCAATAATTCCCTGGGAGTTCGTGCATACTGTTCAAAATTTGGTGGGGGTAATGGTCCTGCCTCTCCACTTAAATACCAGACTTGTGTCTGAGACATGACTCAAGCCGTGATGTGTGTCTAACCAGCATATCCCAAGTTGCACTGTTACCACTGGACATAGCCCTGGGAAAAAGATCCCAGACATTTTAAAGGCCGTATCCAGTCACATGTCATATATAATAATGTAAGGAAGAAGTATAAAGATAAAGAAACTGTCTGTCATTGGGTGTGTGAAAATTTGTGCTTTTCTTTCCTTAAGATTTAAAAATTTACTATTTGCAATGTTTCTTCTAATGCGATTTCCTGAATAGTTGTGCAAAATTTTTCTAGTAGTGGTTACGAGCATAGCAAATTTCACTGGCTATACATAATTACGTCCTTGGTAGTTTTGTTACCACAGCTAACTATCTTGATATGGATATACATGATTCATCTGGCGAAGCCTCAACTTCTTACGTGCAGGCTATGTGGGAGGACAAAAAAGCGGGAACAAAGTGGGTTTCTATCAATCAATGTTACTTTGCACGTGAATTACCACAGTCTGTAGGCCGCCCATGCTTGGAGAACAATAATGAGGTAAACAACTAATTAATTTTGCATTCTGTCTTTTGGTGTACTTTCTATGACTAGGGATAGAATTCATGATTGTATGGTCTTTTCTTGTCATCATCACACATTTGATTAAATTTAAAAACTATGCTTTAGTCCCCAAAAAATTGGGGTTGGCTTTTTGAATCCTTATTGACCATGTTTCTCCATTTAAAATCATCTCAAGCCATTATATCAAACCATGCTTTTTTGCCCAGGGGATTTTGAGTGTGAATATTCATCTGCATTATTCACTGTCTAAAAATCTTGATTCGATGCATATTTCTCTTATGCATTTAATTTGAAAGTTATGATATCCTACATAACCTGATCGGCTTATCCTGCCTGGAAAACACCTTGGAGAAAAGGGTGGCTTAAATTGATGGAACTTGGGATAAGTGATGAAATAGGGAAATAGTTGTCTTGAGACTGTTGAAGTATGAAAAAGTGCAGAAAATTATGAGTTGATTAGAACTAAGAAGGTGAGAAGAGGGAGAGGAGCAGAGCGAGACAGACTGTGGAAGCGCATTTAAATATCTGAAATATTTTTCCTCCAAGTAATTTGGAATAGCATAAGCCTTTACTAGAGGAAATTTCTTAGCAACCAAGTAGGATGGCAGCTCGAAGGATAAGCTTTCCAGCAACTTTAAAAAGATCTCAAACATTTGTCAACCAAACTTGCTGCCCATGTTTCAGCATAATAAAATAAAGCATGGATTGACCAAAGCACTGACCAACCAAGTTTATTGGAAAAATCTGGCAGATTGTTCCAGCCCTAGGAATAGCAGATTCTTCAAGGGAACTCTTCTCAAACCAACCTCCTGAAATATAGATACTAACTCACAAACATTGGTTGCTGTCTGGTGGAGCAACCACCTTACTGTAAAACAATTTTGTATATTTTTCTTTTGAATTTTGTTATAGCCCCCTAGGAAGCATATAGATGGTCTCACTATTCAAGAGCTAGCTATTTTTTTTGTTGCAGCTTGTATCTTCCAGCATCTACTGGATGCATTTTTAATGAAATCTCAGTTTTGCTGTTTAATTTTGTTTTTTTACTGATTAACCTAGAGGTAAACACATGCATGAATAAACTTGGAAGGAAAATATTCCGAGCATTTTAGTGGTGTAGAGTCCACCTAAAAAACAGTTATGAAATTATTAAGGTCTATCTTATAGCCTGTACTCTGATTGAGAGATTCTTGTGTTTAAATGACTATGATTGGAAGGAACAATCTTAAACATTTTCAGGTGTAGAGTCCCCTAAAAGACTATTTAACTTGGGTTTATTCTATATCATGTACTCTGGTTGAGAGATTCTAGTGTTCACCGCTGTTCTGTAACAACTAGAAAGGAAGTTGTTCTTTTAAAAAAATTGCAAGGAAAAAGAGGGCCCTTTTTGGGTTGTTTGTTCTTGAATGCATCACTAGTGATGCTTGAGGCATTTTTGTCCTACGAGAATCCATTCAACTTATTTATATTCAACTACTTGAACAAGAAACTGAATCACAATAGGGTTGCATGCGACTACAATTAATTCATTAAAGCTACAAGATCTTGCAGAAAATGTATGACATGGCTTACCAACCTGCTTCTTTGTCTATTCTGCTACCAAAAAAAATTTAGCACGCAATTAGACAATTGATGTTCCATTTTGTAGAATCTTATGTATCACTGCTGGTCCTTTTACAGGTTTATTTGTCTACTTATAGTAGCATAGTAATGGCTGGCTTGATACAAGGTCCATGCGAAGTACATCCTCCACGAAAGTTTACCGAGGAAAGTGAGAGGAGAGCTCGCCTAGCAAAGGGGTCTAATGATGTATCACAACCTCTTTACATATGCAAGTAAGTTGAACATTTTACATCGACACTAGTCCTTCTAGCAATGAAGCAATTTCTAAATAGTGCATGTCTGCTTGATACAGTTGCTTTTTCTTCTTTTGGTAACTTACACTAGTATTAGTACCCGTACAATATAAAAAAGAAGCTAATTGTAGAATATTGGTATTCATATCTTATTTATAATATCACATCAAGTTTGATCTTTTAATACTAAAATTGTCTTTTTTGCTATAACCATATCTTTTTTTCTTTATAAGTCAATTTCTGATATTCTTATACATGAAAAGTAAATTTAAAGGTTGTCAAAGTGATTCTTTAATTAACTATTAAGCTAAGGATGGGAATCTAATGTAAGCCATCGGTACCTCTCTAGCCTCCAACATCTCTAGAGGACTTCCCTCGGGACTATATTGTAGGCCTTTTTAAGGTCAACATGAAATTGAACTGGTTCTCGAAAACAAACACACCCTTTTCACTCTCATTTGCACCATCCTCTCCCAAACTTTTCTAATGTGGCTTAGCAACTTGATACATCTGTACTTGTTATCATTCTAGATATCACCCTTGTTATTGCACAATGGAACTATTGTACTCCACACTATTCGTGCCCTCTCCATATTTGCCATGTCTGTGCTCTTTAAGAACTCCACCAAAATCTGATTAGGACATGTTACTTCTTTCCTATTCATTCTACAAATAGCATGCTCAACCTCCTCAACCTTAATACACTCACAATACCCAAGATCCTGATGCCTTATCTGACAACTCCCACAATCTCCTGTCCCTTTTCTTGTTCAAGAGTTTATGGGAGCAAGCTTGTCATCTTCATCTAGTAAGTGTATCTTCCATCAACACCTTTCCTTCCTTATTGTTAATGCACTTCATTTGATCTAGGTCTTGGGTCTTTCTATCTCTTGTCTTCGCGAGCCTATATAATTTTGTCTCCTCATTGTCCTTTGGTTCAACATACAAGCGTTTGAATATTGTCGTCTTTGCTGCTGTAACTGCTAACTTAGCCTCCTCACCGTCTTATACTTTCCCCTAGTTATCCTCTTTTTCTCCTCGTTCTTGCAGTCTACCAACGTCGCATTAGAAACCTTCTTTGCTTCCACTTGGCGTTGAAACCTCTCCATTCCACCAAGTGGTTCTCCTTCTTCAAAAAGCTTGAGTTAGCTATCACCAACTCAAAAGCTCTAACAAAGTCCAAGATGAGGCTCCACCTTCGTCAATAACCCCAAAACCAAAGCCTCCATACACTAACTATATTCTTGGTGCATGATATACCCCTTACCACCTCGTCCAAATCCTCCCAAAAGTGCGTCTTGACCTCCTTCTCCGAGCCCACTTGCGGCGCATAAGCACTAAAAATGTTTAATGCAAGCCCTCCAACGACTTGCTTAATCATTATCATCCTGGTCCTTCTAATATCCCGCACTTACTCCCTGAGGACCCCATCAACTAAAATACCTATTCCATTAATATCCCTCTAGCCTCCGGAGTACCACAACTTAAACCCGTTTACATCCCGAGCATTGGTACCTACTCATTTGGTCTCCTAGACGCAAGCAATATTAATATTCCTTTTCTTGAGGATCTTCACTAGCTCTATGTATTTTCCAATCCAAGATCCTACTGTCAGTGTAGGATAACCCTTAAGTTTTAACCCCTTGCCATTCCTGCTGCTCGTCTTCGGCCCGGACCAAAGACATGACCCTAATCGAACATCGTTCACCAAAGCCACAAAAAGATGTAAACTGAACATGAATCTACTAAACAACCAAATCAAGCCTAAACTCTTTGTTAACTAGTAGATATATAATATAGCAAGCACTAACTATATTGTAGTATAAATCAGGAGTAAAGCAAAGAAGAATGTAAAGAACAGAGCAGTCAATGACAAACACAGACAAATATGGTTGAATAAAAGAGCATAACGGAAAGTAGAAGGTTCATCAGTAGGGTTTGTCCAATGAAAATATAACCAGAGTCGAGATGGAATCTCTTTTTGCAACATATCTTGTAGAAAATGAGAAGCCTGGTTCTTTTTTTTTTTTGGCTGTTTTCGCTTAGACTCACCGTGGATTGCTGTATGGTTCTGTTCCTGTCAGATCTGGTCTTAGGGATTTCCTGGTCAGGCCACTCTCTTCAGCGAAAATGGTAGCAGCGGCGGGTGAATCTCACCGGAGAAGATGAGAAAGCAGGAGGAGAGAGGCGAGTGGGAAAAAGAAAGAGAGAGAGAGCAAGAGAGTGAGGGAGGATAGGAGAGAGAGAGAGAGTTCACTTACCTGCCACCGACAGGGCTTGGTCGCTGGAGTACTAGTTTGCCGGCGTTGGCTTTCGTGGGTAGATCGTGAGAGTCAAGAAAACAGTGGGTTGAGTGTGATAGAGAGAGAGAGAGAGATGTAGCGTTAGGTGTAAATGCAAAAAATTAATTAATAGTCAATTTGTTAATAAGTGCACGTCTGACTTTTTCTTGTTAAGCACATGACTTAATGTGGAGGTTTTTTCCTCTCCGTTTAACTATAGATGGATCATAATTATATTGTCGAAATTGGTTATATGAAAAGTTGTCACAATTTAGGGTTTCAATTACCGATTCAGTGAATTTAGGAGGCTACGGAAGAAATTTAGTGAAATAATCAAATAATTACCTCCTATTTTCTTGGTGGCTAGATATTAATTGCATCTTAGAAGCTGATCAGGGGTGATGCAACAGCAAACTATTAGATTGCTTGAGTTAACTTTGTAGATATAAGTTTACTTCATAAATGCGGTTGCTTTAGTGGCAACAACATTCCACTTTCAACCACAAGTTTGGGAGTTCGAGTCACCAAGGGTGCAAAGTGTGAAAAGGGTCACTGTTGACTTCTGGGTTGAAGGTTTGCTGGGTGGGATTTAGCATATCAAAAGAAAGGAAGATATGAAAAGCTTCAGAGTTTAAAATAAAGAATTGCATATCATATGCAGCAGTTTTTAAATAAATTAATAAGATGCAGACCACGAGATCAATCTATAAGCAGTGCACATTTAAAATCCCCTAGTTTCAGATCTCTTGTTTGAAATGTCTGTGACTGTCAACTTTTTATGCAGATGGATTTATGATGAATCAAAAGGGCTATTTCGTGATGTCTCTTGTTGATAGGGGTCAGCTGATAATTATCTTTCTATTGCAACTGCTATTGGCTCGTGTCTTTTGTCAGGTAAGTGAGATAGGGCCCATCTGTTTTGAGTTTTAGCTATCTTTCTTTGTTAATAATGGAGAATATTGGGTCTCTTTATTGCCTGTTTTTCTTCCCTCTTGTCCCATCCTTTATTAGTGCTGGTTGTGTGGGCTAGGGAAAGGTGGGCATGCATGCATTAAATCCAAGGGAGTTTATTAGTGTGGCAAAGAGGGAAACCTCTAATAACCCAAAACTATTGCCATGTGATGGGCGTTATTGTAGATCACTGTATCTTCTCGACCTAACAGATGTATGATCTCCACCTTAATTATATAGGTAGTTTGCTTTCATAGTAAATTTATTCGCCGTTGTATTAAGTAATGGTATTATCATCTATACATTAAAGAGTCGCTCTTTCAACTGCATCGATCTCATCATGCGTGTGAAACTTTTTGTTCCAGCTTATTTGTTGTGGGTGAAATAATTGTTGCTTTCCTCATATATACGTAGGGCTCTACCGTAGAGTGTATAAGAATAATGCTAAATTGAGTGTATCATGCTTGTATTAGTTATGATTGCATTGGTTATGGAGAGATTAATTTTTTTATGCATTGTTTGATTTGGTGTATTTGAAATAACACACATTTTTATTATATTATCTTATTTTCCTAACAATCATATACTCTTGATCATGAAATGGAAGCACTATAAACTATAAGGGGTATAAATGTAACTTTTATAATTTTATTGGTTTAACGGCTACACCTATAAGGAAATGAGTAAACCTTACCCCTTATTAGTAAGCCATTAAATTACAAAATTTCGAAGCATTACCCAGTCATTATTTCGATAACTCAATACCAATAAACCTATTTACGATTGGGTAATCAATTCTGATTTTGATCAACCCTTGAGATAGCGCTTGAATCTCCAAAAGATGGAACTGATAAGACCTTAGCAATGCCTAAGTGATTACCTAAAGAATGTTTGAGTTTTAAAGAAGGGTACCATTAGTAGACATAAGGCACGAGGTCAGGTAAATAACATCAATATCCTCTATATGCCCTTGTGTAACCTAAATAATACAAATTTAAGAGCACAAGGAGCTTTCTTTTCTCTTCTTGGAGTAAGTTATGAACAAAATACGTGTTCCCAATGACATGAGGTGGAAGACAGAACAAAGGTGGTTTGTGGGAAAATAAGACAGCATGAAACTTGATTCTGAATAGTTCAGGATCGCATATGATTAATTAGATAATAGGATGTGAGAACTGCATAGCCCTAAAAACAAGACGTGAGAAGTTTTGGCCAGAACACTAGGAGGCAAGGTCGGGGAGCTTCTAAACTACTTATCTAGGTATGCCTGTGGGAGCTAAAAGCAAGTCCAAAGGCATATGGAATGGAGTCCTGGAGAAATGTGAAGAGACTCACCAATTGGAAGAGTCAGTACTTGTCCTTGGGAGGAAGATTGACGTTAATTAACACTGTGGTGGATGCATTAGCCTCTTATATGATGTCTGTCTTTCCTTTGCCTGCCAATGTATCTAATAGCATTGATGCTCTTGGAAGGAATTTCTTATGGCAAGGCAATGAAGATAAGAAGTTTCATCTAGTTAAATGGGAAGAACTGATTGTGAGTAAAAATACAGGAGGCCTAGGCATCAGAAACTTTAGGGAACAAAACCAAAGCCTAATGATGAAGTGGTTTTGGAAGTTTGCAAATGAAGACAACATGCTCTGGGAATAGGTCTCAGAGCAAAATATTGTATGGAAGACAAGTGGATGACTAAAATGATAAGTACTCCATAATAATCCACTGTTTGGAAGGCAATAAGAAATCTATGGCCAGTGCTATATCACAAAACCAAGGTAGAAGTGGGAGATGGTTCAAAGACATCCTTATGGGAGGACAAGTGGAATGGGACTGTCTCTATGAAACAATTGCATCCTGAATTGTTCATTTTATGCCAATGTCAACAGGCCACTGTGGCTACAGTGTGGACTGGACAAGGATGGAATTTGTTCCAAGGAGGAACCTTCATGACTGGGAGATTAGATAAAGTGACAGAATTTCAAGATTCGGTAAGCTCTTTCAGCAGAAGATCAAAATGAATTGCTTAGGTCTTCTTCTCTATTTTGGTGTAAACAAGATATTAACTACGACACAAGACATCTTTGATGTGCTAATTGTTTATGGGCAGCAATTTAGATTAAGACTGTTTACTATGTAAGTTGTAATACTTTTGAAGGGGAGTTGCGCTTTTGTTCTATACCTGTGGATATATAGACTAAGGTTACCAGTTCCGAAACAAAAAAATGAGACATGAGATTGTATGAGTAGGGTATGAGTAGTCTCAACGAGATGCCTATTCTTCCTTCCAATTATCCTATTTTATTAAGGTGTGTAAGGACAAAATTTTTGATGAATGATCCCATGAGAGTTCAGGAATTGCTGCAATGGAGAAGATGAATACTGATAGGGCATTATCTCTAGAAAATGTGCGGATAAAAGACCACAAATTGATTTTGGATTTCAACAGTGAGTTTCATCGGTGCTATATAATGATGCACCAACAAGGTTCTTTAGAGCACAAAAGGGGCTTAGACAAGGTCTTCCTGTCACCTTTTCTGTTCTTGGTAGCTATTGAAGGACTCATTAACATGGTTAAAGCAACAAATACAAATGGTTAACTAAATGATTTTGATGTGGATAGATCTGGAAGGGGAAGTCGGGAGGTGACTCATCTTCGGTATGCAGTTGATACACTCGTTTTTTCTGATGCTGAAGAACTTAAATTGCTGAGGGTATTTATGGTTCTTTTTGAAGGGATGTCTAGATTACACATTAATTGGAGGAAAAGCTTTTTGTATCCCATCAATGGTGTTTACGAATATGGAGGTTTTGAATGCAAGCTTAGGTAGTGAAGTTGGTTCCCTACCAACCAAATACCTTGGAGTGGGAACTAAGTGTAAATCATCTTAAATCATGAATAATATGATTGGGAAATGTGAAAAGGAATTGATTAGATAAATGAGTCATTATTTGCAATTGGGAGGTTGAGTAACACTCATTAATTTAGTTCTAAAGGCACTTAGAATGAAATGGTTACAGTAAGTATACAAATGTGAACAACTTTTGTGGGGGGAAAGTAGTTGAAGCTAAATATGATGAAGAGAAGTGGATGACCAAGGACGTTTCTACAACTTATGGGGTCAATATATGGAGATCCATTAGAGTTCTTTAGAATGACTTCAAGAGCAATACCAAGATCAAAGTGTTTAATGGGGAAAGAACGACTTCTGCAAGGAAGAATGGCATGAGACAAGCAACCTTGAAATGCTCTTTCCATACATACACATCCTAGTGCTACTCCAACAAAGAACTATAGCAGATTGTGGACACCTGAAGGGTCGAACTTCACCTTCAGAAGACAACTTAATGTCGGAGAAATACAAAGAGTGGCTGAATTTTTCACCTTCTTGAAGTTCAATGGACTTCAAGAAGGTGATGATGAACTAGGGTGGCAGGGCAGTGATAATGGCTCTTTCAAGGCGAATAATGCTAACAAGAGGACGAACCATTTTGGTTTCTGTCTAAGGAAGCAGTTCTTACACATGACAATCTGATGAGGTAAGGGATACCATTATGTTTCAAATGTTTCTTCTGTGGTAAAAAACAGAGACGATAAACCATCTATTCTACATTGCATGGAGATTATTTTTAATCAAAGTTATTTCATGCTCGAGGCCTGGAAAGATTTACAGAGGCACTCCAGATTTGGAAGAAGTAGGACTGCAGGCTAAGAACAGAAGTAGATGGAGAATTATCCTTGCTTGCATTTGGTGGACAATTTGGAAGGAGACAAGCTCTATATGTTGAGAGTACTGATAATAGTATGCATTAAAGGGCATTTTAGTACATCTACATGTCTTTGACCACAAGCTACAAAGTCTCCTTATATGGAGGAAGTACCATCCTTTTTAAGTTCTGATAAACTGAGATGTCTCATGTCCCAATCACTTATATAATCAATCGGGTGAATCAATAACATGGCAAACTGTTGAAGGAGGACAATATATGAGTGATTTAGCAAGGATAAGTTGGTTGGTGACAGTTTTTTAAGGGTTGGGTTGGTGCAGTTCTACAAGCAAAGTTACGGTGTTGGTTGATGCTCAAAAACTAGAATTACTGTCAAACAAATAGTCACCGAGAATATGCACGGTAACGTAAACTTTCTTACTGGTCACTGGTAAATGCACAACGATTAAATCTTCATATACCAGCTCTAATATTATGTGAGTGAAGAGAGTTTGAGAGAGAATTCAACTTGATTATTCCCTCAAGCCACTGGGGTTCTAAATAGCCAAGTATACTCAGTCCTCTAAGAAAGGAAAGAGAATAAAAAAATTCATAATCTTGAGAGTACTATATTTACAATATCCTAGAATATTCTAACAATAGAGAAATAATTAATTTGTAGAAGTTAAACATCTTTTTCCGTAGCTCTAAAAAATTGAGCAAGTGTTTTTAGGAGTATACAGAAAAATCAACTCTTTGTTCAACTACAAGTAGTAGGATAAAATTGGTAAGAGTAGTAGGATTTTGACACCTATTGGACATTGGTCCCCAGTAAAAATGGTTTGTCATTTGCACCTAATTCTTGTGGTTGAAATTTCGCTGTGAAGTTGGATCTTGCTCCACATCACTTGCCATGTTAACAAGCTTTATTTCCTTTTTTTTTTTTCAAGTTTACATTTACATTGGTCATCTCGCGAAGTCAAATTTTCTGGATTTTTATTGCCTGAAGGTTTACTTAGATTAAAAAATGATCAGGTTGCTAAACGTGTTATATTGGGAGTCACGGAGTTAAGTTTTAGGGGGTTGGGAGTAGCGGCAAAGAGATGTGAGGGGGAAAGCATGAAAGTCTGTAGAGTGATCTAAGATTTTTAACTAGAAGCTAAGTTATTTCTTACTTTGCTTTTCTAAGGTTACTCATGGTTTTAACTTTCTTTCAATTCTCTAAATGCAGTTTGTTGCAGCATTGGTGGCCATTTGACATTTGTGGAGGAAGTCTCAGATGGTGTACAATATTTAGCTTTAGGTCCGATCTGTATCATTCTTCCGGTAGTTATTTGTGTCCTGTCCCTCCAGTTCTTTTCTGTTTTTATTAGGTAGCAATTTCAAAAGGTGAGAAAAGTAGGTTGATGAATATCATTCATCCAGCTAAGTATGAAATAAAAACATCCTTACTTTTAGCTTTCTATTTTCAAGTATCACAGTTCTCGACTCAGCTGTGACCCTCCTCCCTCCGCCCCCCCCTTAGATTTGTGAAGACGCTTTCAAAACTCAGAAGGTTGTTGTTTGAGGCGATGATTGGCTGCTATCTATAATAGACTTAAATGTTATACTGCTTCGTTTCGTTGGTGATTTATTTTGAAGATTTCTCATCAATTTTTATATTCTCTTCTCTTATAAGTCCCCAAAAGAATGCTATTTATACTTGTGACTTTTAATCAGGTAGTGAGAGCCTGTTGAATTGAAGGCCAATGACCTTCCTAGATTAGAATGAGAAACTGATTATGGCTTGTCTAGATGAGGAAGTTTATGATGTTCGACTTTATTGAAGTCAGGTAAACTTGTGTTATGCTATTATGAGATGTTAGGCGAGGGGAATTGCTTGAATGGTAAACATTCTTTTAAGGTTGTGAGTTTGAGTTGAATAAAAAGATCGGAGCTCATGGGAGGGGATAAGCAACTTAAAAAAAAAAGGTGTGGTTTGTTGGGCTTCATGAAAAAAATTGGATAAGGTGTTGCTTGGACGGTAAACACCTGCACTTTCAACTTTAAGGTTGTGACTCATGGGAGTGAAAAGGGTGTGATTGTTTGTCTTCGTAAAAAAAGTTTTAAACAGAAAAACTACGAGTAAATAAAGAGCAAATACATATGTGTGACTGCTAGTCAAAGATATTCTACATTTGATTACTCTACGGTACATAGTTCACTTTTTTCTTTAAAAAATAATATATATATATGAGGCGTTTTATGTTTTAAGCCCAAACATTCTTTTGGAGTAGTTATTTTTTTTTTTTTTTTAAGAATCGACTTTAAAGTGCTTTTATTCAATATAACTTACAAGAACTTCTGTGCTATTTGGGTAAAATTAAAAGAAGTGACTTTAAGAATTTTTTTAAAATGAAAAATAAAAAATGTCAAAATTTACTACCTATGATTTTCAATTTTTGAAGATAAATCTGTGAGTCCATTGATTATCTTAGAACTATCACCCAAGCAGAACAAACGAGCTTCCTAGTCAATTATGCCTCATCTGGTTTCGTTATGATTCAGACGTTTGAATTTAAATAAACATTTGAATATTAAAATGTGATTTCTAGATCTGAAAATCAAATGATTAAGATTGTTTTGATCTTGTATATTAAATTATATATTATATTAATGAATTATGATAAAAGTTTCATTTCAACAAAAAAATTACTTTTTGATTAAAAATTAATATTTTAAATGTTTACATTCGATTGAAAAAATTAAATTATATGATATGCAAATAAAATTTATTGTAACATAAATATTTTTAAGATTCAACAAATACATCTTCTCATGTAAGAATCATTCAACTGATTATATATTATATTAATGAATTAGTATAAAAGTTTCATTTCACCAACAAAAATTGCTTTTTGATTATAAAATAATATTTTAAATGTTTACATTTGATCAAAAAAATTAAATTATATGATATGCAAATAAAATTTATTGTAACATAAATATTTTTAAGATTCAACAAATGCATCTTCTCATATAAGAATCATTCAACTAATTAAATCTTGATTTGATTATACTGGTTAGATATAAGATAATTTAATAATTAACCAAAAATTAGTAGGATTAAATTATAACGTTCAAACGTTATAGAACATGTCAAATAATGAAAATATACAATTATCAAGTATTTTCTTTTCTTTGCATTAGTTGAAGTACAAGTTCTTCACACATATTGCTTTCGTCAATATGTTACGAAGCTCCAATCTTTGGTAGATCATCAATATCTGACTTAAAAAGGTGAACATCTAGGCAAGGGAAAGTGCAGCGCACTTGGTGCAAATATCTTCCTTTTTTCATGATATGCTAATGAGAATGAAGGGTCCTAACTACGCATATGATTGATAGAATCACTACGTAGGGGGGACGGTCAACAAAATGTTGGAGAGACATGAGTGCAATTCAATCTTATGGTCCGTTTGTAGTGACTAGGGTCTCTTTCTCATTGATCAGTTCGTCTCTGCTCTATTAAAAAGTAGGAATTATCTGTGAACTTGCGGCTATCCGACTAGGTTCATTTGTTTCATCAAAGTATAAATTTTAGGTGCAATACAAAAAAATGTTGTAACCGGAGTGTGTGAGTCCTCATAGATATCAGGTGCTCCTATATATAGAGTTAAAAGATAAATGGAGTATAAAGGGTATGTGATTTTCTTTGGGGCTCGAGAGATGGAATGATAGGACCCACAAGTTTGAAATTTACCGCTGGAGAATTCACACAAAAGGGAACGAGGAATCTTCAACAAAAAAAATGCTCTATGAACTGGATGAGAAAATACTTTCCATCAGACGACTTTTCATGTAACTCCATTCTCGACTTGGATTATATATCCAAAAAGGTCCACCCATGTTCTTTTCATATGCTGCCTAGTAAAGGCGTAGTTATGTGAAGTGGATTCTTTCTTTTATAGTAGATGCCAAACCTACTGTGTCTCATTGACTAAGAAGGGGGAAAACACAACAACTACATGGATTCTTTCCCTTGGCCAAGTAATAATTTTTTATTATTATATACTTTTACATATTGTTAGACCCAAGAATCACGAGTCGTGATGGCACCTACGTTCCCCACTAATAGGTAAGCCAACGAACATATTTTAACAAACTTAACTAACTAATAAGTGAAAAGACAATAATTGTTAATTCTGCAACACTGAGTTCCTTATAAGTACGAATGCTGAAAACTGAAAAAATATTACCCAAGAATTGGTGTCACAAGTACAAGAGCTTCTAGAATACGATGCAAGTCTGAAACTAAAATGACAAATCTAACTTAAGGCATATCCTGTCTGAATACTGAATAACAGAATACGTAAAGATAGAGGGAGGTGTGGGCCACGGAACAGCCAAGCAGCTCACCACAACTCCAAGAACTTCAAGCCGGACTCAATTTGCTCCACGAGATGTGCTCCTACTCGGAATCGAATCTGCACCACAAAGAGTGCAACAAGCGTAGTATGAGTACGAAACCACGTGTACCCAGTATGTCTCATTGACCGACAACGAAGAAGTAGTGACGGGAGTTTATACAAAAAAAAAATTCGTAAATTATATAAGTATATATATATATATTACACTCACTATTTAGGTTTCATCTTTCCAAACACCAAACAAAACACCTAATCATCAAAATAAATGATGTGATGAAATGCAATGCAATATAACACCATATAATGAATTGTTTCAGAATACCCAGTACACACTCAACCGTATATACATGATACTCCTCGGAAATACATCGAGAGTTCATGACCCATGGGGGACTCGCGAGGTCTATATACCGACATGGACGATCTCCACGTGTCTGTGCGGACGATCTCAACGCACTATCATAATATCAAATAATTTTCACACGAACGGTCTCCACGTGCCCAAATTACAATCTTAACATCTCACCATCCCCAGCACGGACGATCTCCACGTGCCCAACTTATACTCAGTCTCATGTCTATGCATGTGCACAATATTATTTCAACAGAGGGGATGATGATGCATCTCAATCAATCAATATGAACATAATACATAACCACCTCAATTATCACAACTATACGGGTGAAATAAATAAAACACAATCACACACGGAATTCAAGTCAATAATATATCAACTAATGCCCATATGCTTTGGCATTCTCAAATTTCAATCCACATTCTATAATAGTAATTTTCCTTTTTATAACACCGGTACTCATACTAATGCCCGTCACACCATTGATACGAGATCACCATCTTTCCCCCTTACCCCTTTGTCTATTTTCATTTTTAATTTTTAATTAGGAAAACATCCTTCAACAAGTCTAAAAAGTCTTAACATACCTTAGATGCCGAACTTGTGCCACGAATCTTTTAAGATTTTTCCTTTTCTTTTCGCAAGGTTTCGGAACGTTCCCAATCTACCAATTATGCAATATTCGTAAGTAAGCAATTTTTTGTAAACATTCAAATTATTATATGTCTATCATAGACGCTAAAAATCGCTCATATTTCCAACCAAACTCCAAATCTTGATATATAGAGGTATGCCAAATTTTTCATACTTGCTAAATTTCAAGCCAAGAACTTAACTCTAACCTCTTCAAATGGACTAAAATTCAAAGTTAGATCATATAAAATAACACCTAATAATTAATTACCTATCTCAATATATCAAACTTAAATTTTTATTTGATCAATAAAAAAAAACAATCTTAAAAATATCAACAGTGAAGTGCACTGTCAACACGACCTTTGTTTCTTTTTTTTTTCTTCAATCTGTTATGTACTATATCTAATTCTAATTGAAAACATACCAAATGCCAATCATTCGCATTATTGCCTAATGATTGGCTTATAAGGTTGTCCCCCATTATTGATAAATATTGCCTCCATAAGAAATAATTTTAAATCCTTGACAGATGTACTTGAACCTCACATTAATAATATAATAACGATAACAAATCAATTTATCCTTATTCAACTTTGCAATTCTATTCGATAGAAAATTGTAAAAAAAAATATATATATAATCTTGATAGAGTTCTTTTTCCTTACCTGAACGACGGTTCTTCTCGGACGCCTAGGTATTGACTATATGGAGGAGCAGTTATCACTATTTCTGCTTCCCTCAAATTATGATATATTAATTTTAACTCCTCTAACTTATTTTAATACATGGGCTGAATATTAAAGGTAGTGCATGAGTTATGGACTTAGCCCACTAACTATTAACTTATTATTTATTTAATGAAAGTTTCATCAATTAGATACTCATAGTTATCGAATAATTTTAAAATACCCCTTTAAATTTTCAAAAGGAGTCAAACTAATTCTAGTTCTCAAAATGACCTACCGGGTTGTTACACATATATTCCTTTTCATTCAAATCTTAATATAGTTCCAAAATGACTATTCTTTGACTCTCCTATAGTTTATAATATATTTTTTTCGTTTTGAATAGATATTCAACAAACTACCTAGCTTATCGAGTTGGCAGCTCCACATTTGAAGTGCAACACTTCTTTGTGTTCTTCTTCTTCCTCGTTAAATATTAATTGAGATGACTCGCATTGCTTAAAAAAATCATCATATATATGCATCTTCCTGATAAAATTATGAACT